GTAAACGGCTGTGGGCGGTGGGCGTTGGAGTGTTGATAGTCGCTACAATTTGTGGCTGGCTGCACTTGCCGTTGACTTTTATTGCTGCGGTAATTGCCAAATGGAGCTTGAATGGGTTGACTGCCTGCCTGCCTGCCTGACAGACTGCTCGCCTGTGGAATCGCTCCTAATCAAGACGGACTCGCACATGTTGCGGTTGACGGGGATGGCGCTGGCGGTGGCGGGTGGCCCCAAAGACCGGACTGGACATTAAACCTAAAAAGTAATTGGCTTATAACGAAATGTCAGACTCTGTGACACGAGAGGCAGTTGCTCGGACAGGGGCCAGGGACAAGAAGCTTCCATAGTGACTGACTGTACCTTCATCGGTCCATACATATAAATGTACATGTACATATATGTATGTACAATGTACAATGTTCTGTATATGGGAATGTTAGCCAGGAAACTCATCCATTTTCATTTTAGCTCTCACTGGGGGCCATTTGCCTGTCTCTCTGGCCTGACCCGCATTCGCATTCACATTCGCGTTTGCATCTCCTTCTGCTTCCCCTTTTCACCGGCTTGCATGGCGCTTTGCTATGCTGACCCAGAATGCAGGCATATGCCAGGGGTCCCAGTAACTAGGTCAAACAGACCTTGCTGCTGCTACGAAGAGAGAGTGAGCGAGGGAGAGTGTGCCAGTGTGTGGCAAAGAGGCAGAGCGAGAAATCACTTTGCGCCTGGGTGACCTTGCGAAATTGCAATTTCCAAGCTTCCGAAACAAAAGCGGCAACAACAACAGCTGCACCACCACCATCAAGGCCTGTGAGCATACATATGGCAGTAACTGTACTTGGCCAAATTTATGTATGCTGTGGATGCACTATAAGGAAGATGGGGGGATGGGCATTGGCATGGGGGGTAGATTTTCTCTCTCTGTGAGCGTGCTGGGGGATGCAGAACTAAACCAGGTCAAGCGTAGATGCACAACTACAGATGCAGCTGCAGCTGCATGTGTGTGTGTGTGCATGTACATACATATACTCAAGAAGATTGTCACTATGTATCTGAGGCTTATGCTACGCTGCTTCGATGAGTAATGAAAGAGCTGCAGCTGCAATCAGTTATTCACCAGACTTAAGCCTTAGTTTTTCCTAGTTTTTCCTTAGTTTTTCCTTAGTTTTTTTCTCTGATTTCCATTTGGCAATATCTCAACTTGAGAATAATGGCTGGAGATTGGTTGCCCTTACATTTAAGACTAGCCTGCACCAGCATTTTTCTCTGCCTCTTCTGGCCTTCAAAACTCTTCAACAGTTTGAAGACCATTTGGGTCTCTCGAGGCACATTTCAATTTGGCCCGCTTGCAGGCCATCGCCTCATAAACTGCCCCTGACAAGAATTTGATGCCTTGATACGTGGCACGGTGGAGCGGGGCGGGGCGGGGCACGTGCCGTCGACAACCGAACGGAAAAATGGCCATCTAATAATTTTCCAACAGCAACGAGGAGGAGGAAACTGACAGAAAAACTGCTCAAAATGGCACAAGACACACACGAAATACACACACAAAAAATAATCAACTTGTGGGACAGGAGCTGCTGCTCCATGGGGGTATTGGGTTGTGGCGGCGTGGAATGGTTTGCCATTCGACGGAGTCTATCATTTCCCAAAGGGCGGAGCAGGATGGGGGGGTGGGGCTTTTGCACATTACTTTTCAGGTATTATGCGCCACTCAAAAGTTGTCGTTGTCATTTACCAAAAAAAGAAGTTATAAATGTTGCAGAAGGACAAGTGATGGGCATGGGCATGGGGACGGACCTGGTGGACATCGGACCTTGTGTGTGTGTGTTTAAAATGCCGTTTTAATATGGCCAAAATAAGTGTGGAGCTTAGCAAAGTTGTAGCAGCCGTAAGCTGCTTATGGCCAGCAAATTAGACAGGATGGCAATCGGCTTTCGAGTGTCGCCGAAAATGGAGGCATATTCATATGCGAGCCATGTTCAAATGCAACATGTTGAAAGTCTATTGAGCGCCGCCTCCCTACTACCCTACCTCGTAATCCCCACAAAGGTAAGCCAACTTCTCTGCGTTGAGTTGGCTGTGCGTGGCTGAAAATGGGTTAATACGGACTTAGGCAAATACTAGGCGAAAATTTGCGAAAAGAGCTCGAGAAAGCTGTTAATAAAGTGGCCGGAAAAGTCCTTCGAATTGAATTGAAGGCTTGGCTTGGGTTGGCTTGGTTTGGCTTGTGGCTTGGCACACATTTCGTGTGTGTTGTGTGGGGATGTGTTTGACTAACCCAAAAACACTTTTTCTCTGCGTTGAATCAATAAACCAGAGATTAGGATGATTATGTACAGAGTAGAAACATCTGTAGCTGGATCTGCATCCACATAGGTGTATTATCTACACCCCCGTGCTCTCTCTCCCAATTGTCTTGGCCATCCAAAAGCTCTGTCATATCCAGCAAGCAGCAGCTGCTGCTTTTACCAGAGTTTTTGATTTAGAGTGGAAATTGTGCAAGCCACCCAAACAAATCCAATTGAGAATTGCTTTTTGCATAACAACAACAAAACAAAGCCCAAAGAGTCAACTCCAGAAAGCGAAACACAAACATTTTGCTCCATCTGTCTGGTGAGACAGAGATCCCGAGGCAGGAAAAAATTTCAATTTCGTTTCCATTGCATTTGGAGATTGAAACACGCACGCACGCAGCCAAATAAAGTTTGGGGGGAAAACAGCGAGGCAGCGAGGGAAAAATGTTGCCAAATTTAAAACCAATTTCGATTTAAAAGCAAAAAAAGAAATTGAACGAAGAAAAGGGAGAAAAAACTTCAAAAAACCAGCAACCAGCAACAAGCATAATTTTGTGTGTTTCCATTCTATTTTCTTTGCATATTTTATGCGGCTGCGGCTGGGCTAGGGGGGCATTGCAACCCCTTTCAATATGAAGCATGCACGGATTTGTGTGTGGGATTTAAATATTCAATTCGTTGCACACAGGAAAGGAAGCAGCTGGAAGAACCACCAAAACCATCCAATTATTTGGGGCGCACTCCTCTCCCTCTCCACTCGCCACTCTCACTGAACTTTTCACTTTCCAGCAGCCACTTTTCCTGCTGTGGAACGCTTCACACTCTCTGGCCAAGTGTCAACGCGTCTAATTGCAAATGATAACGGGGGAGCAGCTTTAAGTGGAACTTTTTAACTTTTCCTTTTGTTCTGCCCCATTTTCAGCCATTTCCCCCAGTCTCCTTGACTTCTTGTCGCCTTGTCTCCTTGTCTCCGGCGGAACCTTTTAATTTCTTGGTTGACCCAATTCGGAAAGACTTTTCATGATGCAGCATCAAGAGCAGCCAGGCAAAGCCAGGGAAAGTGTCATCAGTCTCTCTATCTCTCTCCTCTCGCTACTCTGCTTCTTTTTTGCTCTCCCTTTCTGCCATTGTTTGGCTTTAGCTTCAGCTTCAGCTTCGTCTGCGGCTTCTTTGCCCGCTTCCTGTTTAGATAAAATGCCAAACGCTGGAAGATTTTTAATTAGAATTTTCCTTCGTGCACTCCTCCTCCTCAGCGCCCCTCCACCCACTCCTTTGCTCTTATTGACTCGAACAATAACCCCGAACTAAACAGTAAACTGGTAATGCGGGCAGGGCAGGGACGGACTTTTTACTTTTCAAGTGAAATCCAGGAAATACGAGCAAAAATAAGAAAAGAAATATTGTTTAAGCAATTTGGCAGCTTAAATCAATTTCATAATTTCGCATAGCTTAGCGGGGCTTTAGGCGGTGACCCGAGCTTAGCGCTTCCCCCATCCCGGCTGGTTCATTATTAATTTTGCTTTATCATTTGCTTCTTGGAACCACCCCCCCTCGCCACCCACTGGCACCCCCCTGGCACCCCACCACTCTCGTGTTTGTCTTTGGTAATATAATACACATTTCTTAATTAATTCAATTTGCTTGCGGTTGGGCTGTTTTTCCCATCTCCGGCGTGTTTTCGGGTTTCTGTGGCTTTCCAATGTTGAGCAATTGCAATTTGATATGGGAACGAGGAGTTCGTGACTCGCACAAGTCCACTGGAGTTGTCATAATTTGCTTTACGAACCGGACGGCGCCAAACGATAATCGAAAGCGATGGAAGGGCAGGCAGGGGGAAGGATATCAACCCCTAGGGCTTGCAAAAACAATGTGGGGAAACATGATCTCTGCCTGCTTTTCCCCAGTGTCGTCCGATATCGGTCAAATGCAATTCATAGCATCAGTTACAAACACATTTAATTGAAATTCAACGCTCAAATAGATGGATACGAGCAGATACGAGTGGATAGAATGCTGCCAGCAGTATCTATCCAATTGACATGACGCAACATTTGCATTGACAATTTGACAACTGCTGGACATGGACACAGACACGGACACAGACACGGACACGGACATGGACAGCAATGGAATGCAAATCGTTCGCCTCGCAGGCTGGCCGAAAAGAGTAAACCTGAATTTGGCCAGCAGCTGTCCCCAGTCCAAACAATTGACAGCGAAAGTGAAAAAAAGGAGACACAGAGAGACGGTTGACTATTCGGGGTGCCGATCTAGGCACCTGGCAATTTTCATAAATTTTCCTGCTGAATTTCCGCATTTTTTTCCCTGCCTGACTGCCTGCCTGCCGGCCTGCCTGATGTAATGGCCAGGGCAAACATTTCGCCTGAATAACTTTCGTAATGACCGGGGACAGCGCACAGCACACAGCGAAGCCTGTGTGTCTGAGCCCAGGGTCTGGACCGCGTCCGTGCAGCTGCGGCGTATGCGCAACGTGAACAAAGACGCTTAAATTGCCTTTCTGGCTCCATTCAATGGCTCGCCAGTTCGTTCGTTACCGTTTAATGGCGTTTTTTCTACATTTTGTTGCTGTGTATTTTTATTTTTTTTATCTGTCACACCCAATGAGCCGAAAGCTGTTCTTGCCACTGTGCTTATGGGATATGCAGGCATTTTGCCTTTTTGGCTATTGCAAAGTCAACTTACAGTTCTGGCAGTGGGTGATGTCTGGGCTGGGCCATAATGCAGGATAAGAGACTTCATGGCACTCACCTGAAACGAGAAAAAGAGAACAGAATTAATTAAAATGTTGGCGAGAATTCGATTCATTTTATTTGGATTTCATATTTATCTGTGTGCCGGAATCTGCATTTGAATCTTTGCAGGCTTTTTGTGGAAAATCATTTTTCGCGCTTCCGAATAATTTCCCCTTGAATTTTTCCATTGTGACTGTGACAAGTGGCGGGGCGGCATTTAAGCTTTTAGGTTTTTCCACTCCCTTAACCATCAACCCCCAACGTTCACTTCTCTGGGTTTTTGTTGTTGTTGTTGCTGTGAAACTTTTCTCTGTTTGTTGTTTGTGTCGATGGCATTGAACGCGCAGCGCAACGCAACGCAGTTCGCATGCGGCAAGGCAAAGTATAGGCAGTGGCTGTGGCAGAGGCACAGATAGCCTCGTGTTCCCATTTCCAAGTTTACCATGTCGGGGTCAAATTGTTAGCCGACTTTCGTGAGCCAACAAATGGCGGCGACTGCCACTACGTATGTACAAATATTCCCCATAAATATGCACTGCATTTTCTTGCCGATTCATATCGCATTCGTTTCTGTTGCTGTTTCAGTTACTGTTTCTCTTACTGTTTTTTTTGGGTGAGGGGGTTTTTTCCTTTGCCATTTTCATGTTCGCTGGCCGTTGATTAACAATAAATGTGAGGCATTGACATGATTTCACGAATTCCCCGTCAACGTCCCCACTCCCATTCCCTCCATAATTGCTCATGTTAATTGCGAGTAATTACTAGGAGTTGCCTTGGCGATTGCATGTTGGTTGGCCCGTGGCTCTGACGCTGGCCTCCAGGTTTTTCGGCCAGCCGACATTCTGGGAAAAGGCGAACTTTAATTGCGCCCGACTAACGGCTAACAAAGCGCCCGATCGAAAATTAAATGAATGACTAAGGAGTAGCCCCCCGTCCCGTACCGACCGGAGTTGAGTCTGAATTTGCACAGCGATAAATTTAGTTAATTAAATGAGCGACTGGGATGGCAAAAACAATTACAAGTGCAGCAACCGTCGGCCATTTGTCATGCATGCGCCGCCATTAATCAAAAGTTGAATAACCCACACAGTACCGTACCGCACCTCACCACCCTTCCCCCCTGCCCCAGCCTACGTTATGTGGCCCAAAATATAAAGGCTTGAGATAAGATCAGCTCTGTACTCTGGCACTCTTAATTGATATTAAAGATGCACGTGGCCTGGGTAGGAATGAAGTGAAATTACTCATCATTATTAGGCAGGTAGGAGGCTCCCCCCACCCACACAAAAGAAAGCGTTGCATACGCACGGGCGTTGGCCAATGGCCAAATGATGGATTGGCCCAGCTGAGATAATTGACCTCTAAATATACTTGGGAGTCGCTGCTGGGGCTGGCTCTACTGCCTCGCAAAAGTAGGCTAAAAATATGGCACAGCACGAGGCGGGTGGCACAGGACGATGGGTGGCGCGACGTTCGCGTTGGCGGGTCCAATAACCTCGATTCGAGTCGCCTCGCAGCTTGAATGCCATTGACACTGAGCCAAGGAGGCTGCCTAACTGCCTAACTGCCGGGCTGGCTGGCTGGCTGGCTGGCTGGCTGGCACTCACTCTCCCCCATCCCATGCTGAGCCCGGCGGCCAAACGAAACAAAAATATTAACAGATACACCACGCTAAGAAGGCCAAGAAGAGCGGGCCAAAGAAGAGCATGGCTGAGAGATGAAAGCGAGGGCAGAGTCATTGAACGAGGCCGACTCACGCACTTTTTCCAGCCCAAAAGCAGTGGAAAATCACGGGGCCTATCAGGCCGGACAACATCTACGTTCAGCTACTTCAGCTACTATTCTCCTCTCTCTCTCTCTTTGTCCAGGGTGTCGACTAGTCGTGTCCTGGCAGCTGCCCACCAACAGCTTCTCTGCCTGGAGTCTGTCTGTGGCCACGTTTTGTTTCTTTCTCTCTTGTTTTTTTTTTTTTTTTTTTGGTTTGTTGGTGGCGCAAGTTTTTGTTCTCGATTGTTTGCAGTGCGTTGCCGCCTCCTGTGGCACCATTCCTTTTGCTATTTTTATGACTCGGTGGCAGGCAGACGGCGAGGTGCGTTGCCGTCTATGGATTCTGATTCGGGGCTTCGGCGGGGGCTTCTGCGTGCGAACGCCTCATTTCAAGGATCTCGGGATCCCCCAGTCGGGGTGGGTTGCCTGTGGCAACTTTTATTGTGTCATTGGCACGCATCGGGCGGGAGTATGGATACGACTGCGACGGCGACGGCAAAAAGTTAAATCCGAAATCATAAAAGCTCCAAATGGACCGGGGCGGTGGCCCACTAACCAGGGGCAAAGGATTGGGGCGCCTCCGCCTACCCACCGATGGTTTATGGTTTTTGTTTAAGGAAGTTAAAGTGTTTAAACGTCAAACATTTCATGGCGATGGGTTAGCTACGTCGGCTCCTATCTATGAGTAGTCGACACTAATTGCTGCCCCACCGTTAAAAGTGAAACTTGCCACGGTCTTGTGCTGTGCCACTGGCGTCGCAAGGCCGTAAATTTTGAGGCAATTTTCATAGAATTTTCGTCGCCAACTGTGGGACTGAGGAGTTGAATAAACCCGATGAATTTTTAACAGAATCACGCATTATTTGTGTGTGTGTGTTTTGTCAAATTCGTCTAGACATTGAAGGACATTTTGAGCTAACGGCTTGAGGGCTTTGCAGGGGTAGGGGATAACCTCTATAAGGAAATTCCTTTGGTTCCGATTTCGATTCGATTTCGATTCTATTCCATTTGCGTTGCAAATTTACATTTTGTTCTGTCATTTGATTTGATTTGTTTCTGTCTCATTTCACTCTTCTGCTCAGCTGCTCTGCTGCTTGCCTGCTGCTTGCCTCCTGCTTGCCTGCTGCTTGCCTCCTGCTTGTCTCCTGCTTGCCAGCTGCTCGCCGGTTGCTGGACAACGTCTGCTCCGAAAACGTGACTAACAAGCAACGACTCGTAAATAATCTTTAAGCCGCTGACCGAGAAGTCATCTCCTCACCGCCCCGCCCTTTGGCAACGACACATTTTATAATTTAATTGCTGCTTTTTTGCCTACGCGCGAGTCAATGAAACTTTGCCAACAGATTACACACTCACTAGAGTGGCGAGTGATGGATAGAGAGGGGAAGTGCAATAGCGGAAGCACGAGGTTAGAATGAGTCAATTCAGAGAGAGAGAGAGAGAGAGAGAGAAAGATAGATGGAGAGAGATTGCTGCACGTTTCGCGGATCGCATTTGCTTTAGCTTTGCCTGCTTTTTGCATACCCTGCACTCGTGATGTGTTAAGCCAAAAATCCTTTGCCTTTAGCTAATTTTCTTATTATTAAAAATAACAACCTGAGCAACGCAAACAATCGGAATATCGCCTATGGCGTCGATATACTTGTTTTCGCTTTGCTTTGTTCTGTTTTGTTTCAATTTCAATTTCTTGGACCGTCAATCAGTCAGTTAGTCAAGTGCATTGACTCTGTCGACAGGAACGGACAAAAGCAGCGACAGCAACAACAACAACAACAACTCGTTTGGCGACTGGAATGTTTATACATAATTTAATTAAACTAAATTTAATTTGCATGTTAATGCACTTAATTTAGTGTAAACTGCAAGGGCAATGACTCGCCCGTGCACTGGCAAAGCACGGGCAAACTTGTTGCGGTTTGCTGCTGCTGCTGCTGGCAGTCTGGCAGTATAGATTTTTAGCTGCTTATCAGAAGCTTCGTCTGGGACGTCCCCCGACCCCTGCACCGATATTGGCAGCAGCAGCAGTCTAAGTAGTCGACATTCACACTCTACTGACAACAAAAGTGTGCATACACGACCTTGATGACAATGAACTCGCCCAACCCCAGGCCCAGTCCCAGTCCCAGTCGCATCCCTACACCCTCTACGCGTATCTCCGCCAAGCGCTTTTCCCATTCCGATCGCCATTTCCATCCAACAACAAGGTATAAATATAAACATTCAGTCATGTATCTGTCCCCATTGTAGCTGTCTGTCTGTCTGTCTGTTTGTCTGACGCCTTTGCTGGTGTGTCGTTGAAAGTGCATACGCGTATAAAAACATCTATTTTATGGCCACTGTCCCTGATAAGATACGAGCAGTAGTACCCAAACGATTTGCATCACAAAATGAAAAGCAAACACAACTATTTCAACTGTTTACACAACCCAACTGTTTTCGTGTGTGTGTCGCTGCCAAGAAGTCTGCTGCCAAGGGTCCATTTTTTACAATACTCCAATTTAGTCATGGGGGTTTTATGGGGGAAGAGCAGGAAGTGCAGGCTTCAAATGCGATAATTTTCTTTGTTCATTTTGATTTCTTTTGTTAGTTTTTTTTGTATTTTTTTTTTAAGCCATAAATAATCGTATTTCGTGTGCCATCCATGTCAATGTCAGGTTTAATGACTTACTTTTCATTGAGTTTTCCTACTACCCGCACCTGGATGGAAGGGGGGTGGGCGTGACGCAAAAGTCGCACAAAGGAAACGAAAACGAAGCCAGAAACGCAGTTTTTGAAACGGAAGGTCAATATCAGATAAGAGCGCAGCACTCCACTCTCTATCGCTGCCTATCTATCGGGGAATGTGCAATATTTCGCACTTGTTTTTGGGGGCAACGACTGATTAGAGACGCTTCCAATTGCAAATCTGTGGCGTGGCAGCAGGGGCGGGGGGCACAGTCCCCAGTACCCATACTCTGACACAGATCGTGATTGCAGCGATTGCAGGGCAGATATGTTATTAAAATGAATCGATGCAGCAAAAAGCAAATACAACTGGTCTATTTTTTTTATTGCCGCTTCTCTGGGGCCAATTGACAAACGCTGTAAAATATTACATATTGCCTCGTATCATGCCATTAATAATGAAATGAAATGAAAAAAAAAAACGAATATCATATAAAAAAATATACTCTATCCAAGCATGTCAGTTAATAACAGCGTACAAATTGTGGCAGATGACAACGACGACGACGAACGGTGAATGGGGAA